AAAATAAACAAGTAAGTAAATAAATAAATGGATAAAATGAATCGGTTTCATGCCTTTTCAGAATCACTGTTTATATTAGCATTTCTCTTATCTGCTACGTATCGATTAGGTCACACAACATCCGGGAATTTGGTGTTTTAATCACGAGCCCGTGTTATGTATGACTGAGTGATTTGATAATTCAAGTACGAATGACAACAATCTTCTAACTAGTCGCCGACTGTTAGTAAACAGTCAATTTCTTTACGAAGACAACCTGATAATTTTAGCTTTACTGCAGAAAGCTTTTTAAAGTCACTTATCATTCCGTCAGTCATTAATAAAAATACTAAAAAAGACTCGCAGATTACCTTAAAGTTAGCTGTTTGATTAAGGAGCGATGTTGCGGTAAATTTTTAATAGTTATTCCACATGTTTTTCGATGGGTCTCAAGCAAAAAATTATCAAAAAAATTAAGATTTGGGAGAAAACACCTAGCTGAATAGTCACCATCAACACAATTCCCAATTAGCTACTCATTATTTTTTTATTACCTTCGCTAGTTAATTAATCACTATTACAATTAATAACGCCCGCTTTATTGCTAGGTATTTGGCTTTAGCTAATCAACTGTTAAAATTCTTGACTCCCGCTTTCTATTACGAAAGCACCAGAATAGTAAGCAGCCCATTTATAAAAACCATTACTAACCATATGATGCCTAGTAAATGTACGCCACAGTAGTCTGTACATGCTCACCATTTAACAACGTCAAAGTGGTGTGCTAATCGGGCTCGAACAATTTCCCATCAAAGTACTATCACCAGTCTGTTGTCTCCAATCTGTTTATTTACAGTCAATAAAAAGTAAACTGTCAGGTAGAGAGCATAAAACACTGCACCTCCACAAAGAAGCTTCGAAAAAAACCGAAACCTTGTCAGAGATCTTGTGTAACTCTTTAGCTGCAGAAAGCCACTAATGAAGAACAAACCAATACCACTTTTTGTAAAGTACTGAAATTGTGTTTGTATATACAACAATATTCCTCTAACACTCAAATAAAACTTTTTTTTACCAACGAGTTATTTTAGAGAAAGAACTTTTCGCTAAGTTTAGCTGATATTAGTAGAGGAAAATACTTAGAATTTTCGTCAGGCGAATAATTTGCAAATTGTTGTAAATAACGATTCGTGTTCCTCTTATAAACATTTAATACTTAAAGAGTCGCAGTTCAGTCGCAGCAAGGAGAACTCAAACAGGTTTTCTCTTGATGCACTGGTTTGCCTGCTGAGAAAAGCTTTGATTTCTTCTATATTCTGTAACAATATAAATCCGGTGACTTCATTTCCAAACTTCAAAACCTATGTGCAACATCTTAGACTAAAAAATAGTCCTTTTTAAAAGCAAAGATGAATGACAAAGAAACCAACAGCTAAAAAAATCACGGTTACAAAATATTTCTAGAGTTTTAACAATAAAAGTATAAAAGAACACATGTTTTGTTCAACCAGGAAACACTGGCATAAAATTGCTTTTACGGGACGCTATAGTGTAAAATAAAGTTATGCTAAATCCGCTAATCCCAATTTGGTACAACCGTTTACCGGAATAAGCGGTGAGAACAAGAGACCCATCTTAAAAAAAA